ATATCGTTCATGGTTGACCATGAGGTTTTCTCTGCGAAAATGCTTTTTATGTTCATGGTTTTTAGACTTACTTTCGGTTGTTGATCGTATAACTTGTTCTTCTATTTCTTTCTTTTTTTTTTTTTTTTTGAGACGGTTTTTTTTTTTTTTTTGTGTTTTTGTCTCTCTGTCTTGTTCTATGATGGAGTGTCTTTGTGTGTGTTCTCTGTGATCTTCAGTCTGTCTTATAATGTTCTCTCCGCCTCCGGGTCATCGGCCATTTCTCTGTCTAGCCTCTCCGATGTGTCTATGCTGTTGTATCTTATTTCATGTGTCGCTCTTCGCCCTCTTCTGGTGCTATGTTGTATTTTTATAGGATATCGTGGTGGTTTCACCTATATTATCCAGATGGTCTCGACTCTCTGATCCCTTGACCAACCTCGCTCTGGCCTCTCCAAAATGCTGGTTATCATGTGTCATCCTGCGTTCTTGGTCTTCTTATTTTTTCCTTATGTATCCTTGGACATAATATGATGGTCATTTTTATATTTGTTTATTATTTTTATTATTTTATTTTTATATTATTTATATATTATTTTTTTGGGCATGAGTTCATCTCTTCTGTGTCTTCTTAGGCTGTGAGCGCTTATGTGTGTCTCTAGTCTTTCTATCTCTTCTACAACCTCCGCCTCCTGTGTCTATATTTATCTGTGCCTCAGCGTCTCCTCTCTCTATTGTGTCTGGATTACAGGCTTATGTATATCTCTATCTCTCTCATCTCCTTTGTGCTGTTCTTATATTTTTAAATGCAGTTAATCTATCTGTCTTTTCCTTATGGATACTTTCGTTCATGCTAGATAATGTCCTTTGCTCTTTTTATATCCATCCATATAATTATAATCTGTTTTGTCTCTTTCTATATTGGTTGACCACGATAATTATTTGGTATGTATTGTATTGTTTATGTATGGTTTGTAAATCAAACCCCTTCTCTCCTGAATGTAAACTGTTTGGACTATTCCATTAATGACAATGTCCTTGCCACCTATCTTGTAGCACCAGTGGCTTGTTTAATGTTATAAAAGCAATTTCCAACACATTCAACCTGAGTATGTGTGATCTGTTTGGGCTTTTTTTTAGTTGGATTTTTGGCCTTTCATTGCTCTCGGCTGTAGGCAATCAGCGTTGATCTCCGGTCTACTGAACCTCATCCTTCCCAGGTGCAAGCAATATTATCCTTGCTCTCTAGGTTTTCCCAAGTATGCCTGGGATTACAGGGTGTGTACCACCAACATCCGGTTATTTTGTGTTTTTTTAGTAGAGACGGGGGCTTTTCACCATGTTGGATGTCTGAACTCCTGACTTCAGAGTGATCCACCTACCTTGGCCTCCCAAAGTTGCTGGGGGATTACCAGGCGTGAAGCCACAGTGCCTGGCCATGGGCATTTGCTTTTCAAACGGTGCTTTGTTTATCTTTAATTTTAATGGTTGTTCTGTGATAAATGTATCAGATGCAAAGGTTAAGTCAGATATATGTTAAAGCTTAAAGTCTATCCACTCATTTTATCCTGCTTTTCAACTGTTTAATGTCTCTGGGTTCTAGAAAAATAATTTATGTGGTCTTTTAGATCTTTTTTTCATTTTCTTATAACCAGTAAGTGCTTCCTCGCTTACTACGAGTTATTACCATTGCGTCTAATAATATTGTTTCCTATTTTTCACGTCCCTTTTTATATAATCTGCTAGGGAAGTAATTGTCTCAGTAATACTCTAAACCAATCGTTTAGTTGAACTATAAGTGTAATCATTAAAAAATTGGTATTAATATACATTCATCACTTCAAATTATTTATCTGTGGACTTTCACTTGTGGTGTTTTCTAACAATATGGTGTTTGCAGTTTCATTGGTAACTAGGGCAATGCATACTAAGTCCACAATATCCAGATTGAGAGGGTTCAAGCAATTCTCTTGCTTCAGCCTCCCGAGTGGCTGGGACTATAGGAGTGCACCACTACGCCTTGGTAATTTTTATATTTTTTTGGTAGAGACGGGGTTTCAACCACATGGACCAGGCTGGTTTTGAACTCCTGACGTCAAGTAATCTGCCCATTGAGATGAGATCCCAAAATGCTGGGATTACAGGCATGAGCTACCATGCCAAGTCAGATTGATAATCTTTCAGATTTCTGATAATCTCAAATGTTATTGAGTATATGAAGCAAAGGGAATCTTTCTTTTTTTTTCTTTTGGGACAGAGTCTCGCTCTGTCACCCAGGCTGGAAGGGAGTGGTGCAATCTCGGCTCACTGCAACCTCTACCTCCTGGGTTCAAGCGATTCTCTAGCCTTAGCCTCCCGAGTAGCTGGCATTACAGGTCCAAGCCACCATGCCCAGCTAATTTTTGTATTTTTTAGTAGAGACGGGAATTCGCCATGTTGGCCAGGCTGATCTCGAACCCCTGACCTCAGGTGATCTGTCCATCTCCCAGAGTGCTTGGTTACAGGCGTGAGCCACCATGCCCGGCTGGGAATCTTTTTTTTTTTTTTTGGAACGGAGTTTTGCTCTCGTTGCCCAGGCTGGAATGCAGTGGCACGCTCTCGGCTCACTGCAACCTCTGCCTCCCGGGTTCAAGCAATTCTCCTGCCTCAGCCTCCCACCGCACCTGGCTAATTTTTTATATTTTTAGAAGAGGCAGGGTTTCACCATATTGGCCAGGTTGGTCTTGAACTCCTGACCTTGTGATCCATCTGCTTCAGCCTCCCAAAGTGCTGGGATTACAGGCATGAGCCACTACACCCGGCCGCAAAGGGAACATTTATCCTTGCCAATGGGACTATGTAAAGAAGGAACACTTTAGAAAATAATTTGGCATTATCTAGTCAAAATGACATACGTGTACCCTTGATTTAACAATTCCACCCCTAAGTATATAACCCTAGAGAAACTCTTACAGTACATGCAAATCAGGAAACAAGGAGAGCCACCCTCTATCACAGAAAAAGAAAAACACCCCTACACCAATTCAGAAAATAACTGCAATGACAGTAAGGAGTAGAGCAGTAATTTACCAAATGAAACAGCACACTTGTGAAATACACCTATTTGCAACAACACAGATCAACCTGAAGAATGTTGAGCAATAAAAGTAACAGAAGAATACATTCGTTATCATTCCACATATAAACAGTTCAAAATCATGAAATATATTGTTTAAAAATGCAAATTTGGTAAAATTATGAAGAAAAGCAATAGTAAACCCAGAATTAGGAATATGAGAAAGAGACAGAAGAAAGCAGTGGTATGTAGGGGACAGAAGATAATGGTAATGTTCGTTTTCTTAAAATGGGTAGATTCAAGATGTACCATGAAGTGTGATTTTTTTTGGACACTGTATTTCAGTTTCTCCCTTAACCCTCACAAATCAATAGGTCTTTTATTGCATAATTTAAATGTCACAAATAGGTCTTATGAATCATCTGGCATCTTGTTTCTGTAGCTGGACAACTCTTAGACCTTATTCACAGACCTGCAGAACTATTCCTTTTTCAGAGACAGAGATACTAAATAAATATTTTCTGCTATGTTTTTAACTGTTGCAGCTTGCTGAATCAAAGCAGCTGAATTTGAAACAAGCTCAATGTTGTATCCTTTGGTGCTTTAAGCCTTCAGAAAACTTATAGAAACGACCCCTGAAAGGATAGTCTTCACTTCAGTTTCTATCATTTCAATATTTAATTTTTTAAAAGAAGAGACCAAATAACCCCCATGTGGGCAGTTAATCTGTATTATTTCCTCTTCTAAGGTAGATGGGTGCCTTCCATCTTTGGCTCCTTTCTAGACCTCACATGAACTGTAGACAGATGTTATACAATGAAAGGCAAGTTTTTACTACTGGCCCTATCTGTAAAGACCAAGGAGACAGAAGACCAACTTTTTTTTGTTTGTTTTTTGCTTTTTTTTTGAGATAGAGTCTTGCTCTGTTGTCCAGGCTGGAGTGCTATGGCGCGATGTTGACTTACTGCAACCTCCGGCTCCTGGGTTCAAGTGATTCTCCTCCCTCAGCCTCCTGAGTAGCTGGGATTACAGGTGCAGCCACCACGGCCCAGCTAATTTTTGTATTTTTAGTAGAGGCAGGGTTTCACCTTGTTGTCTAGGCTAGTCTCGAACTCCTGACTTCTGGTGTTCCACCCACCTCGGCTTCTCAAAGTGCTGGGATTACAGGCATGAGCCACTGCGCCCAGCCAGAAGACCAACCTTGAATAGGTAGATGGCTAATAGTCTTGCCTATACCCTACATAATACAGTATATGAAGATATAAGAGGCCGGGAGTGGTGGCTCATGCCTATAATCCCAGCACTTTGGGAGGCCGAGGCGGGCGGATCAGGAGGTCAGGAGATGCAGATCATCCTGGCTAACACTGTGAAACCCCATCTTTACTAAAAATACAAAAAATTAGCCAGGTGTGGTAGCAGGTGCTATAGTCCCAGCTACTGGGGAGGCTGAGGCAGGAGAATGGCGTGAGCCCGGGAGGCAGAGCTTGCAGGGAGCCAAGATCGCGCCACTGTACTCCAGCCTGGGCAACAGAGCGAGACTTGTCTCAAAAACAAAAAAAGATGTAAGAAACATTAGTGCCCAAGTGATCAGGATGCTAGATCAAAAAGTCAAACAAAGAAACTAAACTGAAATAAGAACCTTATCATTAGAAACTTTACCATCAGTGAAAAGAAATAGACCACCAGCATACTAACCGTATGAAAGCAGAATATCTAGTCAAAAACAGTTGATGTCTTAGGAGAAAAGCAAGCAGATTATACAGTAGTTTTAAGAACGAGACTACTGGATAATACCATTAAAAAATGAAGTCAATGAAAAAATGTAATTCAAATACCCAAATCATACAATTTCCAAAAACTAATATGATACTTACAAAAAAACAAAAGTATGATATTTAAAATAAACTTACCCTGAAATAAGTGAAGTTACTAGCTGCTAAATAAATGTCACTCAAAAGCAGTCTCTTGGCTTTTTCTTACACAGCGGGCAACTTTTCTTTTAAATTCTCCATTTCTATCTTCCCTCCATTCTTTCTGTAGATTAAAAAAGCAGTATCAAGTGATTTCATGCAAACTCCTCTTTATAATCTCAAATATTTATTTTAATTTTGAATGTAATCCCTTGGTGATTTGTCCACTTCAAAAATATTATAAAGCTGATAAGGTAGAAAGCAGTTAGACATACTTTTGCAAGACACTACCAGGATATACAGGCAGAAATCTCCTATGCAAATTCCCTCTACATTAAAAATTATCTTTAAAAAAGAAAAAGATCACAAAAGAACAATTACAGTTTTGTATTACACTGAAAAAGAAAGTTAAAATACACAAATAAGACATTCAGGCCAGGCGCCGTGGCTCACGGCTATAATCCCAGCACATTGCGAGGCCGAGGTGGGTGAATCGTGAAGTCCGGAGTTTGAGACCAGCCTGACCAATATGTTGAAAGTAAAAGTACAAAAATTAGCCAGACGTGGTGGCCCATGCCTGTAATCCCAGCTACTCAGGAGGCTGAGGCAGGAAAATCACCTGAACCGGGGAGGCAGAGGTTGCTGTGACCTGAGATGGCGCCACTGCACGGCAGCCTGGACCACAGAGCAACTCTGTCTCAAAAAAAAAAAAAAAAAAAAAAAGACATTCAGTTCCTAATCTGAAGGATTACCAACTCTCCCTATTGGAAACTACCAGAATATAAACATGAACATGTCTGCAACGTAAGGTAGGTAGGTGGGATGCATCATATTGAGATGATACTAAGTACCATTTCTAGTGTAGAGAAAAACACATGACAATTATCACTGTCACTGTCTGACATGCAAAAATGGAACAGAACAGTGGGGTAATGAGGGGAGGGGAAGAGAAGGGAAGGAGAGAGAGAGAGCCAGACAGAGAGGAATTGGGGGAGAGGGGAAACAAAGGGAAAAGGGTCTATTAAACAGAGGCCTAAAGAAGCTAAAATTTGGAAATGGCAAATCTGAGAAGAGCCTGAATAAAAAGTGGGGCTGAGGCCGTGCATGGTGGCTCACACCTATAATCTCAGCACTTTGGGAGGCCAAGGCAGGACCTCAGGATCACCTGAGATCAAGACTTCAACACCAGCCTGGTCGCCATGATGAAACCCATCTCAACTAAAAGATACAAAAATCAGCTGGACATGGTGGCGCACGCCTGGAGTCCCAGCTACTTGGGAAGCTGAGGCGGGAGAATCGCTTGAACCTGAGAGGCAGACGTTGCAGGGAGCCAATATCGCACCACTGCACTCCAGCCTGAGCGACAGAGCAAGACTCCGTCGCTCAAAAAAAAGAGGGACTGAAAATAGAGATTAACTGAAAGTCTGTATACTGAACATTTTCCCTCACCTATATCAAAATGTTAACTTTCCCAAAATAATAATGATAATATATAAATTTTGTATAAATATACTGAAGAATACTATAATTAGAACTGCTAGGCTAGGTACTGTGGCTCATGCCTGTAATCCCAGCACTTTGGGAGGCAGAGGCAAGTGGATCACCTGAAGTCAGGAGTTCAAGACCAGCCTGGCCAACATGGTGAAACCCCCATCTCTACTAAAAATACAAAAAAATTAGCCAGGCATGGTGGCACACGCCTATAATCCCTGTTACTCAGGAGGCTGAGGTGGGAGAATCGCTTGAACTCGGGAGGCAGAGGTTGCAGTGAGCCGAGATCGCGCCACTGCATTCCAGCCTGGGCGACAGAGCGAGACTCTTGTCTCAGAAAAACCAAAAAATAAATAAAAGAACTGCTAGTGTGGGTATTGGTGCCAAAAACAATTACTCCTTCATTTTGGAATTTAAATGACACCTCTTCCTCCAACCCTTATTTTCAGTTTAGTACCTGCTTTGTCTTCCATATAGCTATATAGCCATACAGCTTTGAATGACGTAAATACCATTTCTTTTTTCCCCAGACTGTCACTGTCACTTCTTTTTTTCTCTTTTTTTTTTTTTTGAGATAAGGTCTCACTATGTTGCCTGGGCTGAAGTGCAGCGGTGATCATAGCTCACTGCAGGCTTGAACACCTGAGCTCATGCAATCAATCCCCCCACCTCAGCCTCTGGAGTGTCTAGGACTACATGTACACATCACCACACCCAGCTAATTTTTGTACTTTTTGTAGATTGGGTTTCACCATGTCGCCCAGGTTGATCTCGAAATCCTGGCCTCAAGTAACTCAACTGCCTCGGCATCCCAAAGTGCTGGGATTACAGGCATAAGTTACCACGCCCAGCCTCAAAATAATTTAAAAGGAAAATTTCCCAGGGCTGGTAGTCTTTAAAATTAAAGCAAATTTTAATTTGGCAAATTAAAAAGAGTTCACACAACTCTGTGAAATTTCCAAAGACCAGCAATAAAGAAAAGAACCTAAAGACAATGGGGAAAAAAAAGAAAAGGAAAAAAGAACAAGTCACCTAAAAATGGAAAAGAATCAACCTAGCATCAATTTTCACATCGGCAATAATAAATGGTAAAATATAAATGCTACGTAAATTTGATTTTCTTCCTATAATATTAGAAACCAAGCATCAATCAAGTATAAGGGAAGAATAAAAGCACCTCACATCATAAATAGACTAAGGATTTCATTGCCACATACCCTAAGAGATTACTCTAGGATGAAGGAGGAAATCAACCAAGAAAAAAAAGAAGAAATGGGATCCATGAAACAAAAGATTCAATTGAGAAGAGCAGTGAAGGGGTAATCTGAGCAAGTCAGCTAAGCAGCAGGCTGAGAAAGTCAATCAAATCTGGGGCCAAGGTGGCCAGATCAGACATAAAGAGATCAAGACCATCCTGGCCAACGTGGTGAAACCCCGTCTCTACTAAAAATACAAAAAATTAGCTGGGCATGGTGGCATGTGCCTGTAGTCGCAACTACTCAGGAGGCTGAGGCAGGAGGATTGCTTGAACTTGGGAGGTAGAGGTTGCAGTGAGTTGAGATTGTGCCACTGCACTCTAGCCTGGCAACAGAGTGAGACTACATCTTCAAAAAAAAAAAAAAAAAAAAAAAATGGAGCCAAAGAATAAAGGGATCCAGGAAAGAGGTGGCTAAGAAAAATGGGGGTTTCCTGGAATATGTACTGCTGATTGAGAGGTCAGAAAAACAATACTATGAAAACATGATCAAAGGTGTAATATGCAAGAAGAAAAAGCAAGTAAGAACAGTAAACTGGGCCAGGTGTGGTGGCTCACGACTATAATCCCAGCACTTTGGGAAGCTGAGGTGGGTGAACCACCTGAGGTCAGGAGTTTGAGACCAGCCTGACCAACATGGCAAAACCCTGTCTCTACCAAAAACACAAAAATTAGCCAGATGTGGTGGCACGCGCTTGTAATCCCAGCTACTAAGAAGGCTGAGGCAAGAGACTCACTTGAACCTGGGAGGTGGAGGTTGCAGTGAGCTGAGATTGTGCCACTGCACTCCAGCCTGAGTAAGAGTGAGACTCTGTCTCAAAAAAAGAATAGTAAACTGTTTATAAGTCATGGTTTTTGGTTTTAATATGAGACAACTAACTAGTTAAATCAGAAGGAAGAATCAGTGGGTTTCAAGAAAAAAAAATGGAATAGATTTTGCACAATTTGTGGTGTTTGGACTAGAACTCAAGTTTGCATATTTCAACTTCACATTAAGGCCTATTTCAACACGTAGGAAAATGTTTAACATCAAGAGAATAACTTTACTTTGGCAGTACATTTGGCTTTTTTTGGGATTCAGCTATTTTGAGGGTTAATAAACATTTTTGCATATTCATGGTCTTGGTTATTGGCTATTAATTTACTCTTCTTTAAGATAAAAGGGCCAGGGCAGGGGCCGGTGGCTCATGCCTGTAATCCCAGCACTTTGGGAAGCCGAGGCGGGCGGATCACGAGGTCAGGAGATCGAGACCATCCTGGGTAACACGGTGAAACCCTGTGTCTACTAAAAATACAAAAAAATTAGCCAGTGGTAGTCGCGGGCGCCTGTAGTCCCAGCTACTCGGGAGGCTGATGCAGGAGAATGATGTGAACCTGGGAAGTGGATGTTGCAGTGAGCCGAGATTGCGCCACTGTACTCCAGCCTGGGCGACAGAGTGAGACTCTGTCACCAAAAAAAAAAAAAAAAAAAAAAAGGTGGCTGGATGTGGTGGCTCATGCCTGTAATCCCAGCACCTTGGGAGGCCGAGGTGGGCGGATCACTTGAAGTCAGGAGCTCGAGACCAGCCTGGCCAACATGGTGAAACCCCATCTCTACTAAAAACACACAAAAAAATTGCTGGGTGTGGTTCCGCACATCTGTTAATACCAGCTACTTGGGAGGCTAAGGCAGGAGAATCGCTTGAACACGGAAGGCAGAGGTTGTGGTTGCAATGAGGTGAGATCACGCCGCTGCACTCCAGCCTGGGCGACAGAGCAAGACTCTGTTTCAAAAGGGCAAATACATACGTAAAATAAAAAAGGCAACTTGCCAGCTCTGATTTTTTTTTTTTTTGAGAGAGTCTCGCACTGTCACTCTGGCTGGAGTGCAGTGGTGCAATCTCGGCTCACTGCAAGCTCCGCCTCCCAGGTTCAAGCAATTTTGTGTGCCTCAGCCTCCCAAGTAGCTGGGATTACAGGCACGTGCCACCACGTCTGGCTAATTTTTTTGTATTTTTAGTAAAGACGGGGGTTTCACTATGGCTCAAACTCCTGACCTTGTGATCTGCCCGCCTCAGCCTCCCAAAGAGCTGGGATTACAGGTGTGAGCCACCGCACCCAGCCAACTCTGATCTTATTATTAAAATTGCTGATAGTTGAGCATGAACCAAATAAACATTCATCAGTTCTCTCTCAAAATGATTCCCTAGGATTTCTTTTAATGCAGCTATCACCCCTTCTCCCTTATCATCTCTTACATTGTTTAGACTAATACTTAATTAAATAGAAAGATAGTTTTCTGCAGTTTTTAGTTCAATTCTATTATTAATTTCAGTCATAGCTTTCAAAGGGAGTTATCTATAGTGTCTTAGTCTATATATAAGATTCCACCCAAGTTATTATTAACCTAAGAAAAAAGATAAATTTTATGCCCTGGCTTTGGTATATAGTACTAACAAAGGTTCTCAGAATAAGAATGAAAGGCTTTTCAAAGAAGGAGAGAAGGCTAAGGAACTAGGAACTATTCTGGATTAAAGTAAACTAATAAAACTTGAATACAAATATAACAGAGGTTCCTAGACTAGCCTCTGGATTTAAAAAGAAAAAAAGCTGCAGGATGGGGGCGTGGCAGCTATAAAGAATATGGGACAATCCAATCCAATGTGAATATAGATTGTATATAGTACCACATCAATGACAGACTTGTACTGTGTAAGTCTGTAAGTAAGTCTGTCATATGGAAAGACAGCATTGCTCTTAGGGAACAGATCCTGAAACATTTTGGGGTGAAGGGTTATGGTATCTATAAACTACTCTCAAACTGTTTAGAAAAAAGTGTTGCAAAATTTCTACAATTGGTGAATCTAGGTGAAAGGTATGGTGGTGTTCATTTAACTAATACATTTTTTTCTACAGATGTGAAACTTCTGAAAATTGAGAACTTGGGGATAATAACATGAACTTTAGACTAGGCATTAAATTGTCTTAGGTATGACAATTGCTTTTGTTTTTAGAGTCCAGGTATCGCTCTGTCTCCCAGGCTGGAGTGCAGTGACATGATCTCGGCTCACTGCAACCTCCGCCTCCCGGGTTGAAGCCATTCTCCTGCCTCAGCCTCCCAAATAGCTGGGACTACAGGCGCCTGCTACCACACCCAGCTCATTTTTTGTATTTTTAGTAGAGACGGGGTTTCACCATGTTAGCCAGGATGGTCTCGATCCCCTGACCTTGTGATCCTCCCGCCTCAGCCTCCCAAAGTGCTGGGATTACAGGCGTGAGCCACCGTGCCCAGCCCCGATTCCTTACTTTTCATCTTTTGTGTTAACTACTGTAGGATTTTGCTCTGTGGTTACCATGAGGCTTACAAAAAAATTTCATAGCTACGACAAGCCATTTTAAGTTGATAAAAATCTGACTGCATTGAAAAACTACACTTCTGCTCTGCCCATCCCACCCCCAATTCTAAATTGGGTGTCACAGTTTCCATCCTAATAACGTACAGTATTCTTGAAAACTGCGGAGAGGAGAATTTAAGTGTTCCCACAACAAAATTAGTAAGTATGTGAGGTAATGTGTATGTGAATTAGCTCAATTAGTCACTCCACAACATATACATATTTCAAAACAACAAGTTGTATACAATAAATATGCACTTTTGGCCAGGCATGGTGGCTCACACATGTCATTGGAACAGTTTGGGAGGCCAAGGCTGGAGGACCACTTGGGCCCAGGAGTTTGAGGTTGCAGTGACTTATGATGGTGCCACTGCACTCCAGCCTAGGTGACAGAGAGAGACCTTGTCTCAAAAAAAAATAAATAAATACATAAATAAATATATTTATATTTATTTTGTCAAAAATAAGAACTATGGAAAGATACATATACACACACACACACACACATGCATGCACACATTCATGCATACTTACATACATACTAACTATAGTTCAAATTTTATCACAAGGGAAAGTGAAGGGAAGACGTGTGACCGCCTTACCGCAGCATCAACATTAGCAGGTGAGTCTCCATTAGGGTCTGCCAGCATAGAAATGACACTAATCATGATGGTTTCCACTGTGTGGATAGGGAGCCAGCGTTCTTCTGGCTTTTCATAACCATACTTATCTTCCCCAGGCTCATGAAGAATAGAAATGCACACATCACCATTTTTATCAACTGCAAAATTCAAGAAGAGGCTTGTTTCATATATTGCTAATTTGGTTATACACAAAATTATCAATTACAAATGTGACCCTGATTCACACAGTGCCTTTATCAAACATGACACATACACAGAAGTTAATGTCCAAAATGGAACGTGTTGACTTTTTTTAGGAAGACTATAGTATAGATTTTACCAAATACACAGGATCCATCTGACAAACCCAGTAGGAATATAAGCTATCTTTTTATTTATGTAAAACATAAAGCTATCTAGTATATAGATGGTGCCTAACATTTACATGTCCTAAGTATAATATAATAAATGAATAAATAGCAACTATTGGATGCATTCTTCATTTGCAGAAAGCATATTTTTCCAAATACCAGCAACTGAATTTCTATGTAATGGCTTCCTAGTTTCCCCACTAACTTACCAACTTAAATTAGTGATAGTCAAAGGCCGAGAGATTTTCCTAAGAAATGTATTTTTACAATCATATAAAGGCAAAATTGTATTTTCTGGGAAAGGAGTATATTCAAATTCACAAAACAAACATGCCATACTGCCAATGAAAACTCATCAACATATATGACACTCATGAGGCCTCCTTTCCATGAACACATTTAATAAGAAAAACATCCTTATTTTTAGGAGACATGTATTGACCTGTTTAAGAGGTTCGGCAAAAAGTAAAATACTACTTATTGATTAAAAAAAAGATCTTAATCCACTAATTCATTTATACATCATACAAATAATCCCTATTGTGAAACGAATCTTTTATGGTAACGTTTACCCACTGTAAATTTTTTTTAAAAGCATACTTTGAGGAAGAACTTTTACAAAGGAATTTGAGTAGTGACAATATTTATGTATATTTCATTCCTAACTTATCCTATATAGTCTAACAAATTTGTGAATAAATATAATTCTAAATCTTATTTTTCATTTCATAACATCAGTATTTCTGCTGTTATGAACTCTGGGTAATCAGAATCAAAGTCTGTATATACCGATCAATATCACTGCTCTCTTAATTCAACAAATTCTTATTTTTTGGTGTTGTTTGTTGTTGCTGTTTTGGTTTTTTTCGAGACAGGGTCTCACTTTGTCACCCAGCTGGAGTGCAGTGGTATGATCACAGCTCTATCCAGGCTCAAGCGATCCTCCTGCCTCAGTCCCCGAAGTAGCTGGGACCACAGGCACATGGCATGATGCCTGGCTAACCTGGCTTTTTTTTTTTTTGGTAGAGATGGGGTCTCACTATGTCACCCAGGCTGGTCTGAAACTCCTGGCTCTAGCAATCCTCCCACCTCAGCCTCCCAGGTAGTTGGGACCATAGGCACATGGCACCATTCCTGGCTTTTTTTTTTTTTTTTCTTGGTAAAGATATCGTCTTACTATATTGCCCAGGCTGGTCCCACACACTTGGGACACTCCCACATTAGCCTCGCAAAGGGCTGGGATTACAGGAAAGAGCCCCTGCGCCAGCCAACAAATACTTTTTCAATGCCTACTGCATGCCAGGCACACATGTGACAGAGAAGTACAGCAGTGAATATATGACAGGAAAGGCCCACGTCTTCAATGTTTTATGTATGAGTTTTTCTATAATTAAGGTTCCTCTTCCCAATCCATCCCTATCTGCTAGTAAAATCTATTAACTAAAATAGAATCGGGGCAAGAATAACATTGAGGGCCAGGCGTGGTGTCTCAAGCCTGTAATCCCAGCACTTTGGGAGGCCAAGGAGGGTGGATTACCTTCGGTCAGGAGTCCAAGACCAGTCTGGCCAACATGGAGAAATCCCATCTCTACTAAAAATACAAAATTAGCCAGGCATTGTGGCACACGCCTGTAATTCCAGCTACTCGGGAGGCTGGGGCAGCAGAACTGCTTGAAGCCAGGAGGCGGAGGTTGCCGTGAGCCAACATCGCGCCATTGTACTCTAGCCTGGGCAATGAGTGAAACTCCATCTCAAAAAAAAAAAAAAAGACCATCGAAACTTGTAACGCTACAAAGTTCAGCATAGAGTATTACTGTTTTACGATGTTTTCTGTACTTATTGTGTAATAAGGATTTTTTCCAAATCATTTTTCTTTAAAAACATGCTATTAAGTATGTGCACAGAATTCTAACACCACAATATAAGATCCATTTTTCTTTTTTAAAAAATCAAGCTATCGCTAATCCGGGATCTTTACATTTTTAACCTTCTCATGTCATTTTATTTTATTTTTTTTTTTTTTTTTGAGGCGGAGTCTTCACTCTATCGCCCAGGCTGGAGTGCAGTGGCACCATCTCGGCTCACTGCAAGCTCCGCCTCCCGGGTTCGCGCCATTCTCCTGCCTCAGCCTCCCGGGTAGCTGGGACTACAGGCGCCCGCCACCGCGCCCGGCTAATTTTTTGTATTTTAGTAGAGACGGGGTTTCACCGTGTTAGCCAGGATGGTCTCGATCTCCTGACCTCGTGATCCGCCCGCCTCGGCCTCCCAAAGTGCAGGGATTACAGGCGTGAGCCACCACGCCCGGCCAAACGTTGGGCGTCATTTTAAACATACAGTTTATTTTAGAATGAGAAGATTTTTTAGGCTTAATACCTATTATCAAACTATAGTTTAAAGGATTGTATCAATTTATACTGCCATCAGCAATCTGAGATGTCCATTTCATTGCCTCATCAAGATGAACATTTTCCTTTATTGATGCTGTTTAAATTTTATACATGACATCTGGTTTAATTCACTTTGCTAAATGCTTGGGGTGACAACTTTCCATGGATATAACCTGTATGTCTTTCCTCTTTTGTGAAATGTCTGTTCTTATCCTTTAGCCAGTTATGTACTTAATGTTTACTTTTCTCTTGTCAAAATGTTTCTCAGTTTTCCCCGTATGATTTTTGCTTGTTACTTTTTTCTTTCATTTCAGTGTTCATTAGAGATGGAACTAAGCTACCTGGGCTGGGCACAATGGCTTGGCCCACTGTAATGTACGGCTGGCCTGTAATCCCAGCACTTTGGGAGGCTGAGGTAGGCGGATCTCCTGAGGTCAGGAGTTCGAGACCAGCCTGGCCAACATGGTGAACCCATCTCCAATAACAATACAAGAATTAGCCAGGCTTGGTGGCACACACCTGTAATCCCAGCTACTCAGGAGGCTGAGACAAGTGAATCGCTTGAACCTGGGAGGCGGAGGTTGCAATGAGCCACTGCACTCCAGCCTGGGCGACAGAGTGAGACTCTGTCTCAAAAAAAAAAAAACCCAAACCAAAACAAACAAACAAACAAAACTAAGCTACCTAAACAATGCATACACTTCTAGCTATCTCCTTTTTCTTGAAGCCATGCATCTAAAATTCTGAAAAACTGATTTACCCTCATCTTATCTATTTACTTACTACTCGGGTATTCCTTTATTCTCCTAGAAACTGGCTTCTTCTCCTTAGCAGGATGCTACAACTGTGTCCACAAGTGGTCTGGATAACATATTTATTCTCCTGGGTACTTTTACCTACCTGAAGTCACCCCTCTGGGCCAAGACAACTAATACTATGACAACACTTTGCTGGATACATTTTCCTCCCCTGACATCTGTGGTACTCTTGTTTTCCCCTGGTTCTTGAACCATTGTCTCAGTCACTTTCTAGTTTTCATCTTCCTTAATCTGACCTTGGATGTTATCCTAATCCCCAACATTAACTGTACTTTCGCTAGGAAAATTAGCCCACTCATTATGACGTTATCTATCATCTTGATACAGTAACTTCCAAGGCCCTTAAGCTCATTGCTGAACCCTAGACTAGTTTTACCTAATTATCTAACTGGATGTAGCAAGTATACCACAAGAAAAACCTGAATATATGTAAGGTCAGTCATATATAACTATTTCCCTATAATAATTTTATAACATCTCTATAGTTCACCTACTATACAATTTACCTATTTGAAGAACACAGTTTAATGGTTTCTGTCTAGTATGTCTACAGAGTTGTACAATCAATACCATAATCAATTTTAGACTATTTTCAACCTACAATGAAACCCAGTACCAATTAGCAACCATCCATTCCTCAATCCCCTCACTTCCCCTCCAGGAGTAAGGAACCACTAACCTACTTTCGGTCCCTATGGATTTGCCTGTTCTTGACATTTCATATAAAGAGAATCGTAACCTATGTCACCTTTTACGACTGACTTTGTTCACTTAGTATAATGTTTCCAAGGTTCATCTATGTTGTAACATGTATCACTACTACATTTCTTTCTTTTTTTTTTTTTTTTTTTTTTTGAGACGGAGTCTCACTCTGTCCACCCAGGCTGGAGCGCAGTGGCCGGATCCTCAGCTCAATGCAAGCTCCGCCCCGGGTTCCGCCATTCTCCTCCTCAGCTCCCGAGTAGCTGGGACTACAGGCGTCCGCCACCCGTCGCCCCGGCTAGTTTTTTGTATTTTTTTAGTAGGACGCGGGGTTTCACCGTGTTGCGCATCTGACTAGTCTCGATCTCCTGCCTCGTGATCCGCCCGTAAGTTCGGCCTCCCAAGTGCTGGGATTCACAGGCCATTTCTTTCTTTTCCTTTAGAAAACAGTATCATGTAATTCATTTCTTTTATTGAGCCAAATAAATTCATTAATGGATCTCAACATTTTGTTATTCTATTTATCAACTGATAAGACCTATTGGGCATGTTCCTACTTTTTGGGGCTATTATGAATAATAAACGCTGCTATGCAACCTCATTCAACGTTTTTTCTGAACATGTGTGCTTCAGTTTTCTTGGTTAAGGGTTCGCTAGGACTGGAACCTGCAGGTCTATCGGTAACTAGTGGCTTAACCTTTTGAGGAACCGCGCAGAGTCCTTTTCCAACATTCCGCACCATTTATCCCTTCTTGCCAGTAGTAACACTGGAGTTCTCGATTTCTCTACTTCTCTTGACACTTGTTACTTATCTTTTTGATTTATAGGAATCCCTAGTGGGTAAAAAGTGGCAATTTCATATGGGTTTTCACTCTATACCTATTATTTTTGCAAATGCGCCAGGTCCAATCCTAAACTTCCTTACTTCTCCACTTCAGCCATCCACTCTCTGCGGCACGTCAAGTCACACGTAAACTAAACTGGCCTTCTGCGCTGCACCTCATTCCTTATGCAAGCTTTATTGTGTTTGTCACTCCAAATGATTGCGATAGAGAAATGCTCTACCTCCCTGCTATCTCTCTGCACTTCCCTTCAACCTCCCTATGAGTGTAATCTTTCAAGAAGGAAAATACAAGCGAACTATTACAATAGCTTTTTTATTATTCTTGTCATCTTTCTCTTCCTTCTGTCTGACAACCTACTATTATGTGCCACTTTAAAAGTCATTAATCTAAACAAGCGCTTTACAGCCTCAAAGAATGAAGTTCAGCCAGCATCATCCTCCTCGTGTCATCGTTCGCATGCTAAGACCCGCGGCCGGTGGGCTTCATGTCTGGCAATCCGCCACTCTTGCGGAGGTTGACGCGCAGGTGGAACTCACTTGAGGTCAGCGGTTTGAGACCAGCTCTGCCACTATGGTGAAACCCTGTCTCTACTAAACACCACAAAAATTAGCCAGGCGTGGTGGGTGAGCGCTTGTAGTCCCAGCTACTCAGGAGGCTGAGGCAGGAGAATCACTCTGAACCCAGGAGATGAGGTTGGCAGTGAGTCAGATCGTCCCATCTGCACTCCAGCCTGGGCGACAGAGTGACTCTGTCTCAAAAAAAAACGAAACAAAAAAAAAAGAAAAGAAAAAAATAAAAAGTCTCTTCAATCTTAAAACAAAACATAACACCATTTTATCAGTTGTCCTCTTAAACTACCTAGGTGATTGCTATCTTCTTAGCAGAAGGGAAGTCTCCCATGTATTTGCTTACATGTATGTTTTCACTTAATTTTCACAGATAGAAAACATAGGCCTGGCATGGTAGCTCATGCCTGTAATCTCAGTACTTTGGGAGGACAAAGTGGGCAGATCACTTGTGCCCAGGAGTTCAGGACCTGCCTGGCCAACAACATGGTGAAACCCCATCTTTACAAAAAAAATACAAAAATTAGTTGGGCGTGATGATGTGTCCTTGTCATCCCAGCTACTTGGGAGGATCACTTGAGCCCAGGAGGTCAAGGCTGCAATGAGCTGTGATCATGCCGTTGTACTGCAGCCTGGGTGGCAAAGTGAGACCCTGTCTTAGAAAAAAAGGACGGGAAGGGATGGGAGAAAGGGAAGGGAGGGAAGGAAGGAGTGAGAGAGGGAAGGAAGGAGAAAAGGAGGGGCAGAGTGGGGGAAGGAGAGACGGAAGGAGGGAGGGAGGCAGGCAGGCAAGCTAGCTTAAGGCTCCAAGAGGGTTTGCCTAGAGTTACACAGCTAATCTGTGGTGAAGCCAACATTCAGAATCTGTTACAGCTTCTTCGAAACAGGTGCAAAACGATTGCCTATTATAATCGAGTAATGCAAGTGAAGGTAGAAGAAGAAACTGCCGAAAGCCTAGGAAGAGATAAAAGTCAAAGCACAGGAGGCAAGTGTCACCCATTCATGCATGCCCGCATCATGCAGGAATACGGTTAATGCATTCTGCCACAAACTGTTAGAGATATTTTCCTCTTCTTACTGGTAGGAAAAATAACTATCTTTTATGATCACTGCTGCCTTAGATGCAATAAAATATGCTAAGTCCCTTGGCTCCCAGTACTTTTCCATTTGCCAGTTCCAGTCTCTCATAACGCCCATGTGTTTTTCAAGCCTTGGCTTCTATTACACATTCCATATCCTTCTGATAAATCCTTGTTTAACTTCATTCAATCATTCATTCCTGTCTCACTGATTCCAGCTTAAACCACTATCTACGTGTTTCTATTCCCTGCACCCAGAAGTCTTGATGATGAGAAGCAAAATGCAAATTAGTATAATAGCCTAAAGAGACAACTCTGATTACATAGTCAAAATAATTAGAAAAGAAAGCTCTGCAAGTTCTATCATACAAAACAAAGCCAAAAGTTCAGAGACTGTTTTACAAATATAGCTTATCTAGCCTAACCTTTGGGGATTTTATTTTACTTTATAAAAATAGAGAATTTTTTTTGTTGTTTTTTAAATAAGACGTAGTTACTGGGGGCTTATATACAGGGGAGAGAGTCCAGCGGCAGCTGGCTAGGCAGGAGAACGGCCGCAATGTGGATTTGAAGTGGTAGCTCTTTTAAGCAAAAAAAGTCAATGTCATCGCTACATGCACAGCCATACTAGATGCTTTCCAGGCTTAAAAAATATAGTATGTTGTTTCATATGACACTGTCAGTAATCTTACACCTAAGAATATACATAGAAGAGTTGTCCATGGTATAAAAATAATAGGAAAAACTATAAATTACAAAACCAGGTTTCATAATTTCTGTGTTCTTTGTAATAGCCAGTGAATCACCTAATACCTTGATAAGTATTCGCTTAATTATAGGAGCTCTATTGATGTTATCGCTCCGTAACCGTGCCTCTGGTTTAAAATATGAGTCTCAAACCAAACTGAAAACTAAATAAATAAATTTAAAAATAACTTTTTCCCCACGATCTCTGTTTCTCTTCCTCTCTTTTTTGAGACACAGTCTCACACTGCTGCCCAGGCTGGAGTGCAGTGGTGTAATCTCAGCTCACTGCAACCTGCGCCTCCCGAGTTCAAGCGATTCTCATGCCTCAGCCTCCCACGTAGCTGGGATTACAGGTATGTGCCACCACGCGTGACTAATTTTTGTATTTTGAGTAGAGACGGGGTTTCACCATGTTTGCCAGGCTGGTCTCCAGCTCTTCATCTCAAGTGATCTGCCTGCCTGGCCTTCTAAAGTGCTGGGATTACAGGCATGAGCCACTGTGCCTGGCCTCTCCTCTTTTTAAAGGTTTCAGTACACAGCCATGTGCACAATGAACACAGTACAAATATGCCAAAGCAATTTCACTGAGAAACAGATCTTTCTTATTGACCTTCAACACTTCAATGACAGGTCATCACATTTACAAATGTAAAAGTAAAACTAGATAAACTTACCATTTGGGTGCCAGATTTCTGTAATGAATTTCATTTTAGGAGGTCGGAGGGGATAATCTTTTGGGAAAGTAAGATGAGCCTTAAAAACACCACCTTCACTGGAAAAAAGAACAAAAAGAAGTTCTTGCCTATAAGTTCCTGCTTTTAAGCATAGAATTGTTAAAACAAATATAAAACAAGGGGGCTAGCACTAACACCGAAAATGAAGTAAACAAATAATCTGGATTCCCCACAGGCAGTTACTTTCTCAAATAACTAGTTGAATAAACTGTCATCGCTATCACTTTAATTAAACTTTTAAGAGAGCTAGTAAAATGAAATCATCTGCTAAAAAGACATTCAGACCAGATCAGATCAGATCACATTACTGCTATGCTACAAACCCTTCCATCACTTCCCAATGCACTTAAAACAAAATTCAGAAGGTTTAACATCACTAGTTTCTCTACGTTGATTTCAAACTGTCATTCCTCTCTGTTCTAACCAGTCTTCTTTCTGTTCTTAAACACATCAAACCCTTTCTCATCTCAAAACTTATGCACATTTTCTTTTTCCTTATCTAGGAACAGATATACTGCCTCCATCTATCCATTTATTCATTTGATCATTTATCAAATATTTACTCGGCATTTATGTGTCAAACTCTAGGGGTATAGCAGCAAAAAAAATCTCAAGGAGTTGATATTCTAGTGACTTTCCAGAACAGCACTGTAAAAGAGAACTGTAATATTGGAGATGTTCTGTATTTGTGCTGTCCAATACCGTAGCCACCAGCCATGTGAAATAAGCCCGTGACTGCTACTTCAGACAACGCACCTCAGACCACTCACACTGAATTAGCAATCACTCTCAAGGAATCACCAAAAGAACAATACAGTGACTTGTACATACTAACTAAAACCAAAGAGATCCAGTCAGCCTTAAAGGGCAAAAATACTAAATTCCTGTCTTGTGGCCTTGGCACTAAATGTTTCCTCTGTTGGAAATACCTTTCTCCCTTTTTCTTCTAATAATCATTCAGTACTCAGCTTAAACGTTACCTCTAGGAAGATTTCATTTGACTAAAATCTAAACTAGCCACTAGGTCCCCTCTAGTACATTGACCACTTAAAATTTCTTTATTGCAAAACCACTTGCACATGTGATTCTTCTATTGTAATGTGTCCAACCATTAGAGTCATGATTGTGGTTGTTTCAGATCAGTGAGAAATGAAATTCTCAGCTCATTAAATGGTTTCCATTCACTGAACAAATACACACTGATTACCCAGTTACTCTAACCACTGGTCTACATAAAAGGATACAACAGAGAACAGAGCATTAGAGAGCACTGTGGAGCTTATTATTTTAGTGGCAGAAGGAAAATATCTACCAAGAAAAATTATCAGTAGTAAGTGTGGTCATGGAATGATATGAGGAATCTATTGTTAAGTTTTTAAGAGCAGGTATTTCTAAAATTAGCTCACTTGTCTTTAAAGAAATAGTGGGAGGCCAGACACAATGGCTCATGCCTGTAATTCTAGCTACTCAAGAGGCTGAGGCGGGAAGGATCCCTTCAGTCCAAGAAGTTGAGGCTTCAGAGAGCTGTGATTGTGCCACTGCAATGCACTCCAGCCTGGGAAACAGAGCTGGGCCCTGTCTCAAAAAAAAAAAAAGAAAAGAAAAGAAAAAAGAAAAGAAAAGAAGGGAAAGGAAAGAAAAAGTGAAAAATTGGGGGTGTGTTGGTATACACATAGAAAAATGTCCAGAAACAGGACATCAATACATAACAATAGTTAACTAACAATAGTGTAGCGTTACGAGATCTTTTACTCTCTGCTCATTTTAATACAGCTTGAACTGTTCACAAGCAAGTATGAATTTTTATCGCTTTTTCTGATCATAAGACATGGGGGAGGTGCAGATTAAGTTTAAAACAAGAGACAGATCAGCCAGGTGTGGTGGCTCACGTCTGTAATCCCAGCACTTTGGGAGGCCGAGGTGGGTGGATCATGAGGTCAGGAGATTGAGACCATCCTGGCTAACATGGTGAAACTCTGTCTCTACTAAAAATACCAAAAAAACAAACTAGCTGGACGTGGTGGCGGGCGCCTGTAGTCCCAGCTACTCGGGAGGCTGAGGCAGGAGAATGGCATGAACTCAGGAGACGCAGCTTGCAGTGAGCCCAGATTGCGCCACTGCACTCCAGCCTGGGCGACTGAGCAAGACTCTGTCTCAAAAAAAAAAAAAAAAAGAGAGAGACAGATCATTAACACTAAACATTCCTGAATAATTAGGAAATGTCACAGGACTCACAGTATAAAAAGTCAGTGACCTTGACCACACAATTTTTTTAGTAAAATGCAATTAAAAAAAAAAAACTGTAAAGGGTTAAAGAACAGGGTAGTAAAGTACTCAAGCATAATAAACAGGACAATTTATACAAAAAGTTTAGCAGCTGAAGAAGATAGTAACTAGATGGGGAAACTGTACAAATCAAGGGCTGTACAAATTAAAAGAGATACTCAGAAAAAATGAAGAACTGAATTAAGGCCCACCGTAGGGCCTTCCTTTTCAAAACTGATGAGGTTGTCTATGGAAGGGAAGAAGCCTGAGGGCTTGAGGGAATAGAGAGAGACTGGAATAGCTGTTGTGAAGAGGGCATTACACCAAGAGTTAAGTCTTTATCTTCTCATCCTGTTGCTCCATGTGAGTTAGTGCCAAAATGGGTCTTAGGATATACTGATTATATTGACTATTTTTTCAAACAGGGCTGCAAAAGCAATTTAATGAGTCACTCGCAAAATTTTTTTGCTAACAAAAATAGAAAACAGAGTTTATCACAAGTAGCGTCAGTTATATAATCTATGTATGTGTTTTCTTCACTAATCTATATACACATATGTATGCACTGGGCCATGATGTAAAATATTTCTAATTACGGGTTTGAAAGCCACAATTACAGAAAACAGCCAAATGTGGTGGCACGCGCCTGTAATCCCAGCTACTTGGGAGGCTGAGGTAGGAGAATTGTTTGAACCTGGGAGGTAGAGGGTGCAGTGAGCCAAGATTGTGCCACTGCCCTCCAGCCTGGGTGACAGAGTGAGACTCCGTCTCAATAAAAAAATAAAATAAAAAAAGAGAGTCTATGTAAAAGAAGATCAAAGGCACAGCCACAAAGCCCCTGCACTGGATTCTCCTGGCAGCCACGTGCCACTGGATTCCCTGACAACATGGAGTCAGCTTTCCCGTGTCACTTGCTTTGGACTGGTTACATTCACGCAAAAGGTTCGCAACAGCTGACTGGAATCTTCATCGTGAAAAACCGATTTAGACCCTCTAAATTGTTTTCAACCTCTAAAATGTCCACCAAATTCAACTAAAAGGGTGGCCCTAAAGATTTAAAGCACATACCTTTCACTCTATCTGAAAATGGCCTTGCGCACTCTAACGCCACCATGGTGTTTCTGTTTACTCCTGTCTGTGAACCCCTCCTTCTTCTATTTTACCTGTGGAAATTCTACCTGCCCCTGCCTTTTTCTTTTCTTTTTGAGACGGAGTCTCGCTCTGTCGCCCAGGCTGGAGTGCAATAGCACAATCTTGACTCACTGCAACCTCCGCCTCCCGGGTTCAAGCGATTCTCCTAATTCTCACATCTGGCTAATTTTTGCATTTTTAGTAGAGGGGTTTCACTATGTTGGCCACGCTAGTCTTGAACTCCTGACCTTGTGAGCCACTGCACCCGGCCCACCTGCTTTTTTTTTTTTTTTTTTTTTAATTTTTAACTCAGTAGTACCCAACTTGTGCATGCAAACTTCTACCAAGCAGCCAAATTAGCAAAGAGAAAGCCCAAAACCCACAGAGTACAATAACACTGTCAACTAAACATTAACATGACACATATTCACTCTTGATATACAAAGATGATTGTGGCCGGGCGCGGTGGCTCACGCCTGTAATCCCAGCACTTTGGGAGGCTGAGGTGGGCAGATCACCTGAGGTCAGGAGTTCAAGAACAACCTGACCAACATGGTGAAACCCTGCCTTTATTAAAAATGCAAAAATTAGGGGGGGCGGGGTGGCTCAAGCCTGTAATTCCAGCACTCTGGGAGGCCGAGGCGGGCGGATCACGAGGTCAGGAGATCGAGACCATCCTGGCTAACACGGTGAAACCCCGTCTCTACTAAAAAAAATACAAAAAACTAGCCGGGCAAGGTGGCGGGCGCCTGTAGTCCCAGCTATTCGGGAGGCTGAGGCAGGAGAATGGTGTGAACCCGGGAGGCGGAGCTTGCAGTGAGCTGAGATCCGGCCACTGCATTCCAGCCCGGGCGACAGAGCGAGACTCCGTCTCAAAACATAATAATAATAATAAATAAAAAATAAAAATGCAAAAATTAGCCGGGCGTGGTGGCGGGCGCCTGTAATCCCATCTACTTAGGAGGCTGAAGAAGGAGAATGGCTTGAACCTGGGAGGCAGCGGTTGCAATGAGCCAAGATCGCGCTACTGCACTCCAGCCTGGGCCACAAAGCAAGACTTCATCTCCAAAAATAATAATAATAATAATAAAAAAATAAAATAAATACAATTTTAAAAAGGCATCAATGAATTCAAAATATCTTTCATTACATATTGTCTTCATCACAGATACTACAATACAATTACTATCATGATATTAAAAAGAGGTGTGTAGGCCGCCCACAGTGGCTCACACCTGTAATCCCAGCACTTTGGTAGGCTGAGTTGGGTGGATCATGAGGTCAGGAGCTCAAGACCAACCTGGCCGAGATGGTGAAATCCCATCTCTAGTAAAAACTACAAAAATTAGCCAGGCATGGTGACAGGTGCCTGTAATTCCACCTACTCGGGAAGCTGAGGCAGGAGAATTGCTTCAATCTGGGGGGCAGAGGTGGCAGTGAGCGACAGAGTGAGACTCTGCTTCAAAAAAAAAAAAGGAGATATGTAACCAGCAGCTTCAAATTTGAAAGGGTTGAAAAACCCGGGCCTAGCTCAAGTTTCTTCCATGAGGCCTCCTTTACTGTTTTGGTGTTAAATTATAAAAATCTTACAAGGATCAAGTCCTACCTACCACTCGGCCATATTTATTTTATTTAAATGATG